ACTCGATTAATAAATGAAAACGAGCTTGAACGAGCTTTTGTTCGCGAACGTTCGGTTCGTTTACAACTCTAGTTGTGCCTCTTTTAATTCATTGTCTAAAAAAAACTCCCAGACCCACTATTTCCTTTTTTTTTCAATTAAGTTAGGTGGCTTAATTAACCCATGATCGGGCTTAATCACACCTTTCCTCCAGATCTCCTCAAGTGGCGTGAGTGCCCCAAATCCAATATACTTAGGCTTTTTATGGAATAATTGACACCCCTTATCCGTTCCTACAAACTGTTTACATTAAGGCATCTGAATGTCGTTTAGCCAATATTGTCAATTGTGTTTTCACTATTACGCCTTTTCTTTTGTATCCATGAACTGATTTCCCGCTCCTTTATTTTGACAGTTTATTTATTTTATTTTTTACTACTTAGCCCCTAAATATTTGTCAAACCCTAAAATGAATTATCATTCTTCAAAATTTGCCTCCCGTCAGTTTATACCCAAATCCAATCCTCCATTTTCTCCTTCATCTATTTTTTCCCTATAAAAAAACCCAATCCTTCGTTTCCCGTCTCAACGAAACTCCACCGATAGCACCAAGAAGGCAGCGCTACGCGAGAATTTAGGCCCCGAAAAGTAGTGGCTGCTCGCCGTCGAGATCGGTTGAAGATGGCATGGTTCGGCAGGGGTTCGTCGATGGGACCAATCTCTTCAATGGAAGCGTGACACGTTTCCTCAGATGTTGGTGACCGATCGACGACAGATAGAAGGTTGGGGAAGGTGGCGGTTGTACGACGATCGAAAATTGGAAAGTTAGTCGGTTCATGTCGAGGTTGGTTTGTTTTCATTTAACAGCAAAGTACTGATTGGTGGGTTCTGATATTATTGCTTAGCAACATGATGCGGTATAAAACATGATATCTATGTTGTTTTTATGTTGATTTGTAGGTGTTATTGTATTTTTTTATTGTTGTTGTACAAAAACTCTTCTTTTTAATCTTGTTATTTTTACGTCTGGTATAAGTTTAAGTGATCCAACGCCTAGTACTTTTTGAAATATATTTTGTATGTACAATTTCTCAATTAATTTTTTTTTTATTATTATTCTTAAGAATGGAGAAGAAGAAGAAGAATCTTCGGAGAAGAATAAGAAAAGAAGAAAGGGAGAAGAAAAAAAAGAGTAAGGAGAAATAACGTGCGCGAGAAATAGAAAGAAGAAGACAGAGAAAGAAAATATATAAATATGTTTTAATTGAGTGGTTTTTATTAATTATATTTTTTTAGTTAATTTGAAAGTGTTTTGAATTCAAAATGAATCAGTTACCAAATCTTGTATGGTTGTTTATGTCTATTGTTTGGAGTAAATTGGGAACTGTGAATAGATAAAAGCTGTTTTGTAAAATCTTTGTTAAAAAGAGGCAGTTATAAATTTTTCCCAATAAGGCCTATAGTGGGTTGGGCATGGGCACCCTCATGCATTCAGCTTCAATCTTCCCATCTCGTCGTCCATACAATATCCTAAAAATAAAGCATAAAAATATCAAAGCACTAGAACCCATCTAATAAATAAATAAGTAAGAAAATATATAAGTGCGACAAAACTAATCTTATAAAATACGCTAATAAATATATGTGCACATTTTTTCTGACCAATCAAAAGGGTTTAACCTAAAAAAAACATCCAAATAGACACGGCCACGGCCTGGCTCATTGGTTCGGCCGGACTCGACCCTGAATCGGCTCGTGGTCAACGCAGCCACGTTCGAGCCTGTAGTTTGACCGGGCTGGTTCTGGGCCTCCAGTATGAATTTTTGGACCCGACGAGCCGGACGAACCCTGGTGGGTTTTTCTTTTATTGTGAGTCGTTGGTTCCTAACCGTCGGTTCACCGACCCGGCCCAAAACCGTCGGGTTTATGAACCGGCCCATACCTACATCCGATTAGTTCCAAATACGTGTTTTTAGACCCGACGACCCGCAGGGCCAGGTTGAGGCCAAAAGGCCATGTCTGCTTACAAACAAAAAAACTAGAAAACTCTACAAGAGAGACTAGAAAACTCTAGAAATGGAGACTAACAAACTAAAACAAACACACAACACAACAAAACAACACACACCAATTAATATAAAACCTCTCACGCTCTTCACGAACCCACATACATCAACCGCCACACTACCCAATACACGGGCCGACCTCCACAACCACAACTAAAAGAGATTACAAATCTAAAGCCCCCAGATCTGAAAACTCATATCAGAACTCGAGAGGCTAAATAAATCCCATAAGGAATCAAAATTCGGCCTAGATCTGAGCACCCAAAAGCTAAAAGTCAAAAGAAAGGACTTACAACAAGGAAGCCCATCCGACAAAATCTTGTCGGACGAGTTGCCAACTCCGGCCCGGCCTCAACCCCAGAAAAATGAGGGCACGCGAGGGAGTCCACCTTCATCGACATCAGACATCTGCCGGAGAGTGGCCGCTGTAAAGCCTAGCCCATGGGTGCGCTAGCACCTACAGCAATTCGGATGAGAATGGAGTGTTGGATCTATTTTTTTATCTGCAAAGGAGAGGGAGTTTTTTTTTTTCTTTCTTTTGAGAGATTTATTATTTTTAATTTGTGGCACGAGGTTCATTTTTATTTTGAAGTAAAAACTTTCTAAGAGTTTCTCCAGCCTTGCGCCACAATGTTACTCTACTATAGGGTAGTGCGAAAAACTTGCTACGCTATACTTCACTACTCTGAAGATGTGAACAATATTGCATCACATGTAGCGCAGTACTATTCACCGCGCTACAATTTTTTTTCTTCAACTTTTAATTTTTAACTAATTTTTATTTCTAAATTGCCAACTTCCAATTTGCCTGATGGTGGATTGCCTAATAAAGAGGTCACGATTTAGACTGGATGGATGGACTTGCTTGAAGGAATAGGAGTGGGAATCGCAGGACAAGCACGAAGACTCTTTTAAGTAAAGGGCACTCCTACACCAAAACGGGCTGGAATGCCTGTATGCCCAATTTATGCAGAGTGGGTGCTCTATTCAGTTGGAAGATTGCCCGCCAGCCAAGAGGCTTTCAGAAAAGGCTGGAATTTCGCCTCCGAGATTTCCAACACAATCAAATTGACCCTTACTTTCCATTCCATTCAAGAAAGATAAAATAGATAGGTACTTATGATTCATTAGTAGGAGAAAAACGACCTTTGTGTGCAGCTCTTCCCCTGGGCCTACCCTAACCGAGCCGCCCCTTTTCGTTTTTGCCAATCCTATAGCCTGTTACCACCTACGACATTCATTTTTCCACTAGCTTTCAGTCCGGGCGCATAAGAAAAGAGGGAAGCTACCCTGACAGAGACCTTTCCAATGCCCAGTAAAAGTGCTTTCCGGTTCCTGAAATCAAACCTAAGGCTAAGAAAACAAGCAGATCTCGAATTAATTCCTGTGTTGGAAATCGGTTAATAAAAGAATAAAAAAGGCTTTGACTGTATCACTTAAATTAGACCAACGTCGAAGGGGAATTCCAATGTTCAATTTCTGTCAAACCCTCATCGATGAATCTACAAAATTCTTCAAATTGAATCTGAAAAAGTACGGTAAAAGTAAGGGAAAAATTGGTATTTTGTTCGTCGAGAGCAGCTGCCCCAAAAGGGCTTGGCTTATTTTGATAAACATGCATCAATAAAATTGTTTATTTTATTAAATAACATTAAATTTTAATTTTATAGATGTATTTAAATTTTATTTTGTACTAAGATATTTCATGTAGAATAAAATGTAGTGCGAACGAATGAAGATGAAAGCTAAAATTTTGTATTCTCCACTCTAAAGTAAAGTAAACTTTACACTAGAGTAGAGTAGAGGATTGAAGATGGTCTAATAGCCTCTCCAATGCAGCCCCACAATTGGAGACGTGCTCTAGAATGGAGAAATTTTTCTCTCCAACGGAGCACTACAATTCAGCGATGTTATGCATATATAAACAGTATTACGCCAAATGTGGCGCAACAATGCAGCTCACTCTACTTTTTTTTTATGTATCTTAATGTAATATTATTGGTAAATTTGTGTATTATGTGTGTTAATAAATATATTTATTATGTTAAATAAATTTGTGTTTTTTATTTATTGCAATATTATAATTTTGTTTTGCATTTTTTTGTAATTTATATTGTTATTGTTTAATTTATGAAGTCTCGTGTTTTATACATAAACATATTTTTGTTATTTGGTTAACAAAAAATTAAATACACACACACAGACACAAATACATATATATATATATATATGTATATATATATATATATGTGTGTGTGTGTGTGTATGTATTATAGTTTATTGAAATAAAAATGAATAAAAAAAATATATTTGATGTAGAGCAAAATGTAGCACGATTGACTGGAGATGAAATTTGAATTTTGTCTTATCCTACTCTAGATTAGAGTAAACTCTACTCTAAAGTAGAGGGACGGGAGATGCTCCAATTCAATTCGTGAATTATACTGTCACTGTTGTGCTACAACCTACAGATAAGTAAATAATTAATGGTAATAACATTAACCTAATAATAAAAATTTAAAACTAACTCATTAAAAAACAGGTAGTAGAGACTTATGTTAGATAAATTTAACGTTAGACAATTATATCCTTAAATATATAAAATTTTAGGTTAAAACATCATATTTTAAAAAAATATAAGAATAAAAATATGACATTTTATATTGTAAATGAATATTTTTATATAAAATAATAATAATAAATTGTTTAGTGTTGATACAATAATTTGTGAAATACAAAATATCAATCCACTCCTAAAAATCTTTGGCAACTAGAGAGGCCACACCTACTCATTGTTCTATTCTAGCTGCATCCAAAAAAAAAACCCACCACAACAAAACGCCACGTGTCCTTATCCCAATGGTCAATCCCCCACCAACCATAACCAGCCCAGTCAATATAAACAAAACTCTCAAGTTCAACCCTGCCAAAAATATCTCCCAATTTTCATCTCCAATGGCGTCCCCCTCTCTCTTCTCTCTCCTCTCCCTCACTCTACTCTCCGCCGCCCTCGCCTCTACCGAGAGCTTCATCGACGCCGTCTCCGACGATCCCCTGATCCAGCAGGTCGTCTCCGACGGCGCTGAGGCGGTCGACGAGCTGCTGCACGCCGACCGCCACTTCTCGCTGTTCAAGGCCAGGTACGGGAAGTCGTACGCCTCACAGGAGGAGCACGACCACCGGTTCTCGGTGTTCAAAGCCAATCTGCGCCGCGCGAGGCGGCACCAGCTGCTCGATCCCTCGGCAGTCCACGGCGTCACCAAGTTCTCGGATCTGACCCCCGACGAGTTCGAGAGGAGCTACCTGGGGCTCCACAAGAGGCGCCTGAAGCTTCCGGCGGACGCGAACAAGGCACCGACCCTGCCGACCAAAGATCTCCCGGAGGACTTTGACTGGAGAGATCACGGAGCCGTTACCGGCGTTAAAGATCAGGTTTTTCTTTATTTTTGATCCTTTACTCTCATCTCGTGATGTAGTTATTTTAATTAAATTGATAGAGAAGTGTTATATTAATTTCATTTCGATGGTAACTGTGCTTGTGTTTCCTTTTCAAAACTCGCTAGATGAAGCGCTAGATAAGGCTTTTACTGTACTTATGAAACTGTTGATCATCTTTTATTTGATTATTCAAATTCTATGTCAAACTGATTTCATTCATGGAAGGATTATAAATATAAACCATCTTATTGTTATAATTTTATTAAAGAAAGAGACTGTGTAATTTTTTTTTATCACTTTGAATACTTTGAAATATAAATTCTTGTCTGTAAAATCACTCTAATACTGGAAATGCTTTGATGGAGATTTATGTATCACCGTAGAGTTTTACATACATGTTATATGCTGTATATCTCATGATTTATTTGTTATATGCGGTTGTGACAGGGGTCTTGTGGCTCTTGCTGGTCTTTCAGTACAACTGGGGCACTCGAAGGAGCTCACTATCTGGCCACTGGAGAGCTTGTGAGCCTCAGTGAGCAGCAGCTTGTGGACTGTGATCATGAGGTTTGAATCATTGACATCTTCGAATACTAAATGCTTAGGGTTGTACTATTGGCTTATTATTTTGGAAACTTAAAGAAGAATCTTATCCTACAAGAATCCTTTTAGGAAGCCATTGTTTAAGCTTAACTTCATTGTTTTATGTGAAGATAAGTATTTCTTCCTCTATGCTGATTATCCTTTTTCATTAACTTCCAGCCTAGAAAACTGATGTTTAATGCAGCCTGTTTGTATTATATTCATAATGATTTGTGAAGAGCTATGATCGTTCTTTGGTTAAGCCACCAGTAAACTTGACTACAGGGAAAACACTAGAATTATCTTAACTTAATTTCTCATAATAAGTGAAAGGTCATACATGATAATTTACTTTGGCATGTATATTTGTCTTTGTGGTTAGGCATGCTACTTTGTTGGAATGGCTTTTGTTGCTGAAAACCCCGCATTCCCTAACCTTATGGTCAAGCAGCTTAATCTAAAACATCTATGATTAAACTACAGTGCTATATGTTATTGAATGTAAAAATAAGAATAAAAAAAGATAAATAAATTACGGAATGAAAAAATTGTGAGAGATTCAAATGTTATAGGTGCTACTTGTAATTGTGTATGCATTATAATATATCTGAAAAGAAAACTATTGCTTTTATTGACATGAAAAAGCTTGGATTTCTTGGCAGTGTGATCCGGAGGAATATGGTGCGTGTGATGCAGGTTGTGATGGTGGACTCATGAACAATGCCTTTGAATACACCCTAAAGGCCGGCGGACTCCAAAAAGAGAAAGATTATCCATACACAGGGACTAACGGCGCCTGCAAATTTGACAAGACCAAAATTGCTGCTTCAGTATCAAACTTCAGCGTTGTTTCCCTTGACGATGAGCAAATTGCTGCCAATCTGGTTAAGTATGGCCCTCTTGCAGGTATCAATCTATTTCATAACTATGGTCGAATAACTTGTGTTCTTTTAAAATTGTGAGTGAAAGCAACCTTGATCATTTTCTTATGTTGACTGTTTATTTCGCCAGTGGGAATAAATGCAGCTTGGATGCAAACATACGTCGGGGGAGTGTCGTGTCCTTACATATGCGGGAAACATTTGGATCACGGTGTGCTCCTTGTGGGATATGGTGCAGGGGGCTTTGCTCCCATTCGTCTCAAGGAAAAACCTTACTGGATCGTAAAGAACTCCTGGGGTGAAAACTGGGGAGAAAGTGGGTATTATAAGATTTGCAAGGGCCGTAATGTTTGCGGGGTGGAGTCGATGGTCTCGGCTGTGAATGCAGCTCATATAACTTCTCAGTAAGTCATTTGAAAACATGATTTGTTGTGGAAGTATAGGGTAAGTTACTAGGCACGTGTATAGAATTTATGTAAATAAAAAGTGCTTTTATATATGTATTTTAGATGCCCAGTTGTGGCTCCATAGAAGCTGTCTTCAGGTCTCTTATGAACTGTCCTAAGCTGAACTGGGAATTGGGATTTGGCGTGTCTGTACTTTCATGTTGTCATATTTTATATGTGTAGATGTATTGTCCGAACTCTCAAGTACTAATAGTCTTGTGAACTTTATTATTGAGAATTGAGCACTTTGTTGCAGTTAGTTCAAACATGGAACTGAGGAACAATGTAAATTCGCTGGCTTGATAAGTTTTACCATTTATCAGACAAGCCAAAAGAAATGTGTTTTATAAGTAAACATGAAGTTGCATGAAGTTGTACCGTTTATCAGCCGTTGAAGATTGCTTGAAGATATTATACATTGCAGAAACTTCACTTTTGAGATTCAGTTTGTTCTTCAATGACATCTCATTAAGCCAAGTAGCTGGATTTGTGATGAGACACGGTGGAATGATCGTGTAGAATCATATGAAATAAAGAATGTCGATTGGCAAGTATGGAACGACGATTCACTGCATACCAAAATAGAGAATTAAAGCAATTAAAAGTGCAAAATGGAGTTAGAAGAGGCGATCGAATTCGAAGCCCTTGATAAAATCCCCATGAGAAAGAGAGTATTAAGAGTCTGGCATCACATGTTCAGATTCAGAATTACAACCAAGTATGATTTTCAATTTTTCATCACACAAACTTAAGGACCAAGCCTTTAACTCCACCACCAAAGCTCACTAGCAGAAGTTTTAACTCCAACTTAAAGTATTACGTGTTGCTTGCGGTTCGAATGTGAAGTTGCTATAGATATCCTAGTATGCTTCATGTCGTACTTAAAATCAACGAAAACAATTTCACTTGGAAGCTATGTCAAGCATCCAAAACTCTTATTTGAACCCTAATGGTAGAATTTCGTGCGTATCTATCACGGCTAAACATGCATGTGGCGAATGCAGTCCATGTTACTTCTCAAAGTAATGACGAACCAAGCTAACCAGATGTGTGCATAAGGTTTGAGTACCTATAAATTCATAACTGGCCTGGTTTATTGGCACTGTCTCCTTCGCGGCAACTACCGGACCTAATTCGTTACTCCTTTATTCTCTTCTCTTTTGAAATCTTACAGGAGTGTCTTTTGATTTTTGAATCTGCTCATATCTCGTAGATTTTTTTTCAACTAGAAAACACAATCCCAATGCTCTCCCAAATAAGGTTGATCATTGGTCGGTACGCTTGGGAGATTGAGAAATCTCTAGAACCGGACCGAGATTTTCGTAGATTTGGAGATTACTAAGATTCAATTTTCGTACAAAAAAAACCGAGACAATTCGGTTTCGGTATTCAGAACGATTTAATTTAATTCAGTTCGGAGCTACGGAGATTTATAATTATTTTTTATATATTTTCACATGGCTATCTAGTTACAGTTAAAATTGATATGCTTTTAGAGAAAAAACAAATTCAACATTCATCAATACTTAAACCATATATAAAGATTTTATTTTAAAATCAAGTTTAGGAAAAACAAAATTACTCAAAATTTTAGTTATGACTAAAATTGCAAGTAATAACAGAAAATTGGAATTCAAACAAAATATAATATAGTTATTTTTATAAAATAATTTATTTCTTTAACTTTTCATACATATTTAGTTTTAAGATTGAATAAGTTTAAGAAAAGTATCAGCAAATACAATATAAACAAAATTTTCAAAAAAATAAGAATGCAGTTGTAAATCAAGTGTTATTAAATATAAAACTATATTTTACTAAGTATTCCAAAAGTACTCGAGTTATATGGGATTAAAGTTACATAAAATTAAACAAGACACATCTAATTTTATAGTTCAATCCTTAATTCCGGTTATTCGTTTCGCTATTGTATGAAACTGTCTGATTCAATCATCGGTAAAAATATTTGTGAAATCTCCAAAACTGGCCAATATGTTAAAAAGTGATTTTGATTCGATTTTTAGAACGCTTCTTAATTCTCCTAGTATCACGCATGCGGACGAAATTCCGGACAAAGCATATCTGTAGGGAGTGGGCACGGCTTATTTGCGACAGGGACAATGTAGCCAATATTGATATTTAGTAACTGTGATTTTGCTTATATATTATTCCTTAGAACCTAGTTGCAATTTCTGGTATTTTCTTCTTTAAAACTCTTGTATTCGTCGTTGGGAAGGGGAAACCAATAAAAAATCTCAAAAACGACTCGTGTTCGAGCACTAATCCATTGTGCATAATCGACTGCCGTTAGCGCGGTTATCGCAATTTTTATTCACAATACACGATCTTCATCATTGGTGTTCTCATTGAGAGAACCAATCGTGTACTACCATGTCAAACAGAGAATGAATCCATTGATTGGAGGAGAGCATACGTTCCATCAATGAGGACGTATAATCGACGAACCAAGTCGTCGCGCGGATTGAAAGGATGCTACTTCCGCCAGACGCACGGGAAGGGGCGATTCTCGTCATTGGACAGATCCACCGAATTGTAGAAGGATCTGAATTTCACAATGAATTCGCATATGACAATGACAACAGGTCGAGGGGTTCGAACCATCGGGAGAAGCGCGGGAACGAGAGGCCCAAAGTGACACTACCGACCTTCAAGGGGACAGATTCCGATTCATGGCTGAGTCCGGCCAATCAATGTTTCGAGATCAACGAAGTACCTAGGTAAGAATCGTTGTCTATTATCTTAACGGAGAAGCGAACGTTTGGTGGCAGTGTCTACAAAAAGAAAAATATCACGATCCGCTGGAGGACTTTCGAAAAGGAATTGGTTACAAGGTTTGGCACGTCAGACTACCACGATTACGACGAGTCTCTATCACACGTAAAAATAAATAAATAAATAGGAGCCTTCGTGAAAGTGAATATCAAAAGGAGTTTGAATTGATGGCAAGTCGTGTTCGCGACTATTTGCGCATTTGTTGGGGGATTTAAGCTTGGATTCGCAGCCGAGGTACGTTTGGAAAGGCCCAAGACCCTACGCGTGGCAACAGAGGTTGCTCGTATGCATGACGACCACCTAGAAGCTGTGAAGAAGGTCAGGCGTCCAGACACGGGAGCCTAGGCCAATTTTTTAGCGATTTCAGCAAGACCAGAGGGACCGTCCGTGGCATGTGCGAGGCTGATACCCATCGGGGATAAAGGCTATCGTGGGGTGAGATGCATAGGCGACAGGAGAAAGGTTTATGCTTCAACTGCGATAAAAGTTCGTCAGCTATCATAGATGCAAAGAGAGACAAACCTTTCTAACTGAATATGTGGATTCCAACTAGGAAAAAAAATGGGAAGTCGAATCAATGTATGATATTAATCATCGTGAGGATGACCCAGAGATCTCAGTTCACGCAATGGTTGTGTTCATGGGGCCGAAGATAATGCAGTTACCGATGGTGGCACTAGTCGATACTAAGTCGTCCCACAATTTCATCAACTCTTCTCTTTTCAGCCAACTTAATTTGCCTAGACCGTTTGATGTTAGAGTCATTAATGGAGAATGATTAAGGTGCTCCAGATTCTTCTAGAGCATACCATTAAGTTGCAAGGCGTGATTGTAAATGCGACCTTTACGCACATTGGGAGTTCAATGATTGGAAGGATTAGGGCAGTCACGAAGGATTGTGGGATCGGAACAATGGAGTTTCGGCAGTGTGATAGTCTCGTCAAGATAAAAGTCGAGGTCAGTGACGGAGTCAAGGAGGTGAGCTTGAAAAGCCTGGAGAAATTGTGGAAGAGCGGCAGTCAGTTCTTGGTGCAATTGGACAGGGTAAATGTGGAGGACGAGCGCACCACGATCTTCCTCTCATTCCAGCCCTCGCTTTCGTTGCAGTTCTTCAGGGGGTTTCTAGAGATTCTAGAGCTGAGGCTAGACAAGAGTGATATGCACAATAGATTTCTGGTCGCATTCATCTCCCCAATAGAGATTGCTTGCATCACACAGAAATGAAGCGACTATTACTACAATAATGTAGCAATGAAGTAGATTATCATGGTTTATGTGTTGCATATGAATACTTTTATTGATGTATCGTCAACACTTGTCCCAACAAATATATTAACATTCTAAACTTGTGAAGTATAAAAGTAAGTACAAAATCACATTTAGGACAAACACGCATGCGACTCCAATACAATTAACAAATCTTGTCTGAAAGACTGAAAAGAGCTTAGCTTTGTATAGCACTTTCCCTACCGTGATCTACGATTTGTGTTTCAGTCGGGGAAATGATATGAGAACATATCAAAGAAAATATCAACGGGATCTAATGTAATTTAGGTTTCAGTTGTAGGTTTTCTTCTTCCAAAATAATAAGAGGTTATTTAGATTCACTAATTTGCGTAAACTTGAGATATCTATGTGAATTTTGTTGTTTAGAAGTTGAAACTGGGGCGTGCTTCCTTATATTATGTGTACAGTTTGATTCATACTTTGAGTTGCTGCTGCTCCTTCAGCAATTTCAAGCTCAAGAATCAGCAATTTCAAGCTCAAGAATACTAATAAGTCGTGAAATAACCGAAAATTTCCCCACAAAAAAAATGTGATTTCAAGCTCAAGAATACAAAGTCTCGAACCACTGGAAAAGCAAACACAAGTCTGCAAAATTTCTCACGAAGTGATTTGGGGAAGATTTTTGGTCAAAAAAAGAAATAAGGGTGGTAGCAAAAAAGTGTTATCTACAAAATATAAGGAAGCCAATAGTGTTGAGACAGAAGTTGAGACTTCAAAATTCATCCCCACCCTTCAAACCCCTAGAGGATACCATCAATAGTTTTCTCACAAAATCATGAAAAGTGAAGCAAAACCACCACAAAAGACATCCAAACAAACCAAAATCAGCAGGCACATATACCACACAGCCAACAACAAGTCCATAACTAAGAAAATCATAACATTGTCTTCTCATAAGAAGTCTCAAACATAACAACTCGAACCACAAAATCTGGATCCCAAAACTTAAAGTCTTAATAGCAGCATTTTCAAATTATCCAAAAGAAAAGAAACCAAAACAACAGGGAAAAAAAACACTTACTAATAGGCACCATAGAGAGTTTATAATAGACCCACAAACACACTAAGCTTACAGCTTATCCTCGTATTCAGACAGCGGGGTAATGTTCGTCTTCATACCTTTCCTCTTCCTGATCTCTTCAACGAGAGTGGCTGCCTGAGACCCAGCCTCCAACGGGTCTGAATTCATCATGTCCCAGTGGTCAAACACACACTGTGGGAAAGCCTGGCCTGAAGTTGAAGCCCGAAGTTGACTTGAGAAACCAAAGGACTCAATGACCGGCAGATAAGCCTTGATGTTGTACAGAGGGGTACCGGGCCTCTGCATTTCCTCAAACACATGCCCTCTCTTCTGATTCAGCACACTGTAGATACCTCCGAGGGCCCCTTCGGGAGCCTGGATTTCGACCAAGTAGACTGGCTCCAACAGACGAGGCTTGGCAGTTAGGTGAGCAGCATAGATAACCCTCCTGGCAGTCGGAATAACTTGCCCGCCACCTCTGTGAATAGCATCAGCGTGTAGAACAACATCACAGACCTCAAAGCAGATGCCCCTCATGTTTTCATCAGCCAACGGGCCCTCCTTGGAGGCCCATTGGAAACCCGCAACCACAGAGTCCTTGATTTCATTCAGGTACTGCACTCCCTTACACATGTCCACCACCATGTTCGGGCCGATGGTCTCTGGCCCAAAGCACCAGATCTTCTTGGCAAGCTCCTTGTCCCACCCAAATTCCTCAGCCAAGATCTTCGACCGGACCTTCGGGTCGTCCCTCGGGCCAATCCGGCCGTCGTCGATGGCCTCAGCCAGACCTTCCTCCAAGGGGCGGGCTTCCATGTAGAGACGATTGTGCTTGTTGGGGGACTTGCTCATGACCGTGCGGCACGACCTCTCGAGGACAGTCTCACGGAAGGAAACCACAGGGTCTGATTTTATGATCTCAGCACCTCCCATGAAATCCTCCTGCAAATCCTTCAGGCAGATTTCGAGATGAAGCTCGCCAGCACCAGCAACAATGTGCTCCCCAGACTCCTCAATGGTACAGACAACCATAGGATCAGACTTGGCCAGACGCTTCAGACCCTCAACAAGCTTGGGGAGGTCAGATGCAACCTTACACTGGACAGCAACACGCACAACGGGCGAGACGGAGAACTTCATGGCCCTGATGGGATGGGCCTCAACTTCCTTCTCATTGGTAAGGGTGGCATTCTTGGTGATGAACTGGTCGAGCCCAACCATGGCCACTGTGTTGCCACAGGGCACATCCTCGACAGTTTCCTGCTTCTTTCCCATCCAGATGACAGTTCTCTGGACGCTCTTAACGTACAAGTCTTTCTTCTCGCCTGGGACGTAGTTGGGACCCATGATTCTGACCTTCAGGCCAGTTGAAACCCTGCCGGAAAACACACGACCGAAGGCAAAGAACCTCCCCTTGTCGGAGGCTGGAATCATCTTAGACACATAGAGCATGAGGGGGCCTTCGGGATCACAGTTCCTGATGGCATTAGCGTAAGTATCGTCAAGTGGGCCTTCGTACAAGTTCTCCACACGGTACTTTTGGGCAGTGGCAGGGGAGGGGAGGTGGAATATCATCATTTCCAGCAGGGCACTGCTGGCGGGCAGCCAGGTCTGCATGACACGCTTCATCAATGCCTTGCCCATAAGCTCCTTCTCATCAGACTTCATGGTGACACCAAGCTTCTGAAGCATGGGCCACAGCTTGTCCTTCTGGTCGTTCATACAGGTGTTGATAATCTGCTTGATGGGCTCATAACAGAACTGGACAAAGCCACGCTTACAAGTGGGGGACCCGGTGCTCTTGTTGGTCCACTTCTTGGTGGCCGGGTCAAAGAAGTTCTCTCCCCACAGCCTCTCCATCATTTTAGACTCATCGACACCGAATTTAGAGGCATACATCTTAGCAAAGTTGGTCAGAGTAAAAGCCCAGCCGTGCAGACCAGCAGAGAAGGCAACTGTGCCTTTCTCGGGGTAAACCATGACATCTCCAAGCAGAGGATCCTCATAAGTGGCCATGATCACATTGGCATTCTCAATGACCCTCTGGAAGGTCTGGTAGGCTTCCTCACCATCAACCTGGAGCTCGAGAAAACACCTATCCATCTTGTTAACGGTCAGGACAGGGCGAATCCTTTCACCAAGGGCCTGTCTGAGGACAGTCTCAGTCTGGACACACACGCCCTCAATACAATCCACCACAACAAGAGCACCATCAGTAATACGAAGGGCAGCCGTCACCTCAGACGAGAAATCAACGTGCCCGGGAGAGTCGATGAGATTGATGAGGTACTCGTTGCCATTTCTCTCACCCTTGTAGCTCTTCAGGGACTCATCAGACATCTCGTAGTACAACGAGATACCAGTGGACTTGATGGTAATACCACGCTCAGCTTCATCAGCACGGGTATCTGTCATTCTAACATCACCAGCAACCTCTTGGGCAATAATACCAGCAGCAGCCACAAGAGAGTCCGTGAGAGTAGATTTCCCTGTAAGAACATTGCAAACATTGATCATTCCATGTAGAGATAAAAACGCTTTCTCAGATTATTTGTTGAAACAAAAAACATAAAATACACAGCATATAGAAACACGAAAAAAAAAAGATGGTCTCCTTACCATGATCAACATGAGCAATGACGGACATATTACGGATATTATGCTTGTAGTCCATAATTTTACGGAGCTCCTCTGCTGTGAACTTCACCTGCATACATTAAAATAGAAGTACTGAGTTTTATGTCATAGCCCACATCAGATTTCAGCAAAGCTATAAAACAGGTGGCTGATGTTACTTACCATTTTTGCTAGTCTTTATGATTCACTTAATACAAATCAGATATACAGGAGGTTTTCCTCCAAATATTACCTGCACATATGATAACATATGAAAAACCATTAATATAATTATACAGGAAAAATTGGAAGATAAACAAAATACTAACAAAAAAAAAAACTTGTGAGCACTTCAGAATAAGCAACACAATGTATAAAATCCAAAATTCAAAAGCAAGTACAACAAGAAAGAAACTATCATCCAAGGAGATACAACAAAGGTTCCTAAGCAATCGAAATCAGTAAAAAACTAAAGAACTTTGTCTGCACAAAAAATAATCAAATCTCCACATAACTATACAGATGATTCTCAGATCTAAACATATTTTTAAAATCCAAACAAACAACACAGATCTAGGAAAGAAAATCAAGGCTTTTCAACGGTACTACAATAAATTCCAACAAAAAAATCCAAAACAGAACAAATAAATCGCAGCCATGATTGCATCTGAAGCATAAAAGTCTACTAATCTACCGAAGCTTTTAGAACAAATTCATAAATATTCATCTCCCATTCCTGATGCGGTTAAATCGACGAAACATATCATGAAATGAAATCGAAAGCCATCAAAACACCAGAATATCGATTAGATTATCCGAAACACATCATGAAATGAAATCGAAAGCCATCAAAACACCAGAATATCGATTAAATTGACGAAACACATCATGAAATGAAATCGAAAGCCATCAAAACACCAGAATATCGATTAGATTATCGAAACACATCATGAAATGAAATCGAAAGCCATCAAAACACCAGAATATCGATTAGATTAACGAAACACATGATGATATGTAATAGAAGCTCATCAAAGTACAAGAATAACGAGAAATGATCTCTAGGGTAGAAGATACGTACCACAAAACAGATGTAGAGTGCGGCACTTTGATACTCAGCAGACGCAAATATATATAGAGTGAGGGAAGATGTTGGCACCGCAAACCCTAAATTGTGAAATGGTAGCTAAATAATTGCACTCAAGTCCTTCAACTCAGGTGAAATAGTATATGATGCACTCAAGTCCTCCAAAACCATGTGAACGGGTAAATGTTGCACTCGATCTTGTTATAGAAAGTGGTCCAAAACCATGTGAACCGGGTAAGGGGATGTTTGGTTATAAATATTTTGATTGTGTTTAGATTTTTTGGTTTGTTGTGGTTAATTTTAAAAAAAGTTGGTATGATTATTTGTTAATTAGATTTTTGAATTTATATTTAAATTTCTCCCTATATATTAATTCAAAACATGTTGAGTTTAGGTGGTAGATTCTCACGCTTTGGATGCTGACATGGCGAAAATCTATGCTTCGTGATGTTGTTTTTATATTATTTTTGCTCTGGAATTAGGTTTGGTATTAAACATAAATAACTTTACACATATATTCATTAACTCAACACCAATATTGTACATGGGTATTAGTACTAGTAGTATTTAAAAGAAAATAAGTGAAGTTGATTTGATGTAATAGTAAGAGAGACATGATGTGAACTGATCGTTAGTTAAAATTATGTGAATGATGAATAGTGAACTAAAGTTGATGCAATATGTAGAAATGATTGAGCGGTATTATCGAATTATATTGATAATATTGAGGATATTGAGATTGAATTAAAATTTAGTTAGATTCGAGTTAAAAAAAATGATTGATTAAAAATGATTAGAAATATTTGAAAAAAAAAATATATATCTAAGCATCCCCTGAAAGTTGCACTCTTCATTTTTTATTTCATTTTAATATAGTTTTTCATCAATTTTTACAACTTTATATTAAAAAATAAAATAACAGATGAAAATAAAATATTATACATTATATGTATGTATATGACATTTAAAATTATAACTTTGATAAGCGATATATCATATTTTAAAATCCTGAACATTAGTAAATATGAACTATAAAAATATACAATTCATATTTTACATATAAATCACTATATTTTGACATGAACTATAAATAAAATAATATTTATAATTTTGATAAACCGTGATCAATTAATTGGTTCTATATTGATTATTATTATTATTATTATTATTATTATTATTATTATTATTATTATTATTATTATTATTATTATTATAGAAATTATTTATGTTAAGGGGTTCGGGTTATGCCTCTGAAGTTAATTAACTAATTTAAAACAAAATGTTAATGAGATGAAAAAAATTATTAATATTAAAAATAAATAGTTTGAATAAAAAATTCCAATAGAATTCTTGATAAGTGGCTACCTAATATTTATAGTTAGTAGTAATTATTATTAGTAAGCATTAGTAGTAATTATTATATAGTTAGTAAGCATTAGTAGTAATTTTTTCACTTACATTACTTTTTTAGTGTTATGTATTGTAACTAATTGACTAACTTTCTTATATATATAGTTAGTAAGCATTAGTAGTAAATATTATTAGCAAGAATTAGTAGTAATTATTATATAATTAGTAAGCATTAGTAGTAATTTTTTTACTTGATAAAAATTGTTAAAATTTATTGTTAATGTCTATTACTTTTTAATGTTATGTATTGTAATTAATTAATTTTTATTTCTTTGTAATTTTTATTTACAGTTATATTTTATAATTTATACTTAATTTTAGTTTAAAAATATCGGTTTAAACTAATTACTCAATTCCATATAAATACTTCTCAAATTCATATAAATACTTCTCGATTTAACGCATATATTTCTAAAAAGCATTAATTAAATGTCATCACATTAGTGCATACATAATTAGAGTTACAATATCAATTTGAGAGAAGGAGAGAGAGAGAATGCATGAGAGAGGGAGTGTCGTATTTGTGAGAAGTAACAGTTTTTGGAGGAAAAACAAAAATTACCCCATGCATCACCTCATTTGAGTTTAAAAATTTCAATCCACTTAAATCTTCAATGGCAGACACCCTAATTCCAGAATATATCCTTTCATTGGTTTGCTATGAAGTCAACAATTGATTCCATAGTGGAGTCAACCTTTTATATACAACAAATAAACTTACCATATTAATAAAATTATATCAGTGTTATTTAAGTAATCAACGAATATGGTAGATTTATTTGTTGTATACAGAAGATTGACTCCATTGTGGAACTTTCAAACTCTCATTAATTCTCTCCACGCAAAAGCCTAATCCTCCTCGTCCAGATGGTTTGCATCTTGCCGCCAATGGAGGTTCACCCCCGCTTCGAGATCTTCTCCCCCTTCGAGTCTCTCCTCCCGCCGTCTGCACCGTCCACTACCGCCGAATTTTCAGTCTGAGATGCGTGAGTTGCGACCGAATTTGTCGTCGACGTGGTGGTTGTGGATGACGGTGGTTGTTCCGGGTTTGGGAGTTGATGGAAGAATGGCTGTTCTGGGTTTTAAGTGTGTGTCGTCACGGAAGAAGGAGGTGGGATTGAGGTGTCCGGTAATAAGGACTGCTTAAATTTTCTCTGCTTTGTGCTTCATCTGTGGATGTGGAGAATTTGGATTAGCCAATGAATGATAAAACTGAGAGAATGGTAATAAGATTAGTTCTCATTATTTTGTTTTCTGTGGTGAGCTTGCTTATTGCACTCTATCCTTTCACCTCATTCATCTCTAATTCCTCTGTACTAAATTTCAATTTTCGTCGAAGCTTGGTGAAAAATCTCAAGTATATTATCTATTTAAATTCTTCTTTTTTTTTTTTGTTTTCCGGGTTTGATTTTAGATTTATGAGTTGCTGGATTTAAGATCCAAATTAATCCGGCGAAAAATTCCAACGGGACCTTCGTCCACCTCCGGCAGCTGCACCTTCGCATTAGGCGGCGGATGGAAAGCGTGACCGCTCCAAATTGTGAGAAATTGGTTGACTGGTTTGTAGAGAAGTTCTTTGAAAGCAGCTTTTTCATTATTTTTCTTTTCGGCACAAGAGAAGGAGGCAAACGTCTAACTACGACTTTACTAACACATTACGCGAATACGACACTCCTATTACATCATGAGCTAACCAAACATTTGCTCCCGAAGGAGGCTTATCCAAACGGTGAAAACCGCCAGGCCCCTTGGCCGCGAGCGAGGCCAAAAAATCGGCAAGAAAGTTTGATTCTCTATAGCCATGCTTTATGACCACCTGCCACTGTCGACTCAAAAGATCCTTAACCCCCCTTAAACAATAGATAAACTAAGCTTTTTCATATTTAATTTGATGTTTATTTGAGTTTATTTTAGTTATTGATTGTATTTATTTGTTTTATCTATTGTTTATACTTAGTTTATTTTTTGCTTTTGATTCTTTGTTTTGTCTATCCAATTTTTTATGATTTAGTAAAAAAAAATAGATAATATACTTAAGATTAACCAGGTTTTTGTGATTTATTCAAAAAATAGATAATATACTTAGGGTCCGTTTGGTAAGCTTGATAGAAGGTGATATCATGCCATTTCATATTATTTTCTTCTTATTATTTTGTTTGGTTCAAACATAAAAGCCCTTGAAAAAGACACATGGCCCGAAATTTAATTAGCATTTTCATTATACCATATCCCACCTTCTAGATGGGAGGTGAAATCCAACTCAATTTTTAATCTAAATTTACAAAATACTTCATCTTCTTCGTGTGCCTTCCCTTCTTTAATCTTTCTTCTTCTTCCTTTTTTTTTTCGTAACCACCAGCACCCTTCTTCGTCATCTTTTTTTTTTTTTTCTCTTCGTAATTACCTTTCTCCTCTCCGTGTTTTCTAGACTTCCCTTCTTCATCATCTTATTCCTTTTTTTCTTTTGTTTCGTAAACAACAACACCCTTCATCTTAATCTCTTTTTTCTTTCTTTTTTTTTTTTTTAATTTCGTAAACAACAGCACCGAATCCTTCAAATCTGGTGGAAATTAATTTTGGATCAGTCAATTTTCTCGGCCCGTCAATCCCGAAGGCGGCGGCGGACGGGTGGCAGGAGAATCCTCTGGCGGTCGTCAGCAATCTCCTGGTGGAGTCTATCTCCCGCTTG